TCAAAGTCTCTTCTATTCTTTTCACCTGATGTTCACGATGGCACTATGACAGATCTTGCCATTTCTCTGACCTCACAAGGTCATTCAATCTACTTCTATAATAAAAAGGGTGCTTTGCCTGCTTATACTGGTCTTCGTTCGAAGACTCTTAGTGAAAAACAATATTTGCGATTGAGTGGTACAAAGAATAAATCAAGAATCATTTTTGCTTCTCGAAAATTATGTAAAACATCAAAACTATTTGCATATAATATGAAGTCTGTTGAACGCCTCTGGTGGACATTTCATAACGATATTCTGTTTAAACGTGTTGGTGCTATCATTTGTATGTTCTATCCATCGGAATGTCAAAACTATTTAGCATTTAACAAAACAGTTATATTCATGCCTGCTCACCGTTTTCTGATCAAACGATGTTCTTCAAGTGATTCAAATAACCTTATAAAATGGATGTTCAATAAGCCTAAAGCTCCTATTATTGTAATGGCTGCAGGAAAGTATGATGCAGAATACATCAACTATTATTCTGGAAAGAATGTGGACTACATAATTGCGTCTACAGTACTCATGTATTCCCCGCCTAGAGATTATTCACCGAAATATAATGAATATTTGTATGCTCCATTTAAAAGAAATCCATTTTATAAACATTACAAAGCAGCAATATCGAAGGCTTGTAAATCGTCTGATTTTGAGTGTCCTGTTGTCTATATTCGAGAAAAAATAAAAGGAAGGTTCACATATTCTGATATCAATTCATTTAAGGCAGTGATTGTATTTCCATATGCTGTTCTATCCTATTATCTCGCAGATTTGATTACTGCTGCTATTCCAATGTTTGTGCCTTCACCATCATTTATCGTTCAAAATAAGATTAGTTATGATATGAAAGCCGGAGATCCTTCCTACTGTGGAAAGAGATTTCAGGAACCTCCTCGACATCCTAATTCAAAACACTTGTATTCACCTGAGGATTCTTCAGAAGAGGCCACTGAATATTGGCTACAATATGCTTCCTATTATACTCCATGCTCAATTATTTTCAACAATATCTCGCACCTAGTTGAGTTGATGAAAACAACGAATTATTCTCATGTGTATGAATGCAATTTGAAGTATCGCCAGCATATTATCAATCACAACAAAATGCAATGGAATAAGTTGTTTCGAAAAATACAAGTAAATAGAGTAATGCCCACTACTTGGAGGCAATCGTTGAACTGGTTTGGAGAAACAAGTTTTTACTAAAGTTGATATGTAAATATTACAAAATATAGTATTTTTGTAAAAGAATTATGTGTGAATATTGCATATGGATCGATTTTTTTATTAATATACAGGATTTCTTTATTTGATTGTTTGTTTTTCTACACTCATATCATTTTATTGCTTTTATTTATATGAAATATAAATAATAAATAGTATTCATCATTATGAGTCACAAAATAACAATTTATACAATAGAACCAGCAATTCTTGTGATGCTGTGATATATAATTATGATTCTATTTTATATATATTCCTAAACTATTAATAATCAAATTTATTATCATAGATGATTTAATACTAAGCTATCAGAATTTTAAAAGTGAAAAATAGCATATTATATGAATCACGTGACTCAAATTCTCAATATTGTTATACGTGTTTTGGATCCATTTTTCTCAAAACTCAATTTTTCTCTATCAATACTTGGCAAAATATATTTTTCTTTATTAAATAAGAAACTATATATAATTATGTACACAAATAAATTATTAGAAAGTCATTCGACTGCATCCGTATACACATTTGCTCGAAAAAAGGCTTAACTTAGAAAAGGTGCAATTCCTTTCAAGTAACAAGAATATAATTTTTAATTGTAAAAAGAAGGTCTGGTAGTGAAAATATTCACGAAGCAAGTTTTGGAAATAGCAATCGATTCTTTTTTCAAAATAGCATGCTTATATATTTTTATTGTTCATATTGACTTATTGGAAATGTATCACACCCCTTGGAGAATCGATATAAAATACAAAAAGAATTTTTGCTTTTGTTTTTGCCATCATCATAATGACAAGCTTATTCCACACTTATGATGATTTGTATTTATGTAAATGTGTATTGCAATCATTTCTGTTATGTTATACAATCAGCCAATACATCAGAATGAAATTGCTATATTTTCTTATATTAAAGCGAAAAACCCTTGAACATTTGATTCAATACATTATTCTTATGAATAGTACTATTTATGTACCATATATTAAATAATACTGATTATTACTTTTGTCCTAAAATTGTAATGTATTGATTTTTCGATATTAGTCATAGGTTTGGTACATGAGTTCTGGATTACTCTTTATAGCATTATCACCATTTAATATGTAAAGAAAATAGTATCCTTAGTATTTTTAAATAGTTTTTAAAAGTCACAGAGTCATTCTTATTTGGTTTGAAGGAAAAATAGGATTATTGGTATTGATTTTTCGATTTTACCATTTTATTCTTCATAGGATAGCTTCATTTCATTTATTCATAGTTGAATAGTCATTTCTAATATGGTTCGTATAGTTATAAAAATCTCAGTACATTTTTAAGTAGTTTCGAAAATGATGTTGATGTGGGAGTATCATATGAGCCAATTCTTATTTAAAATGGAAGTAAATATTTCCATCAATCCATATTCACACTCAAAAGAAGGGAATGAAGACAATAGTTCAAAATACAAGCAAAACTAGTTGTTTGCATCATGTGCTATATTATGCTCTGTGCTTCACTATTATTCAAAATACTATACCATCGTTTTTTCACATATTGTGACGTATTTCTGCACAACTTCCATGGACATATATATATAGATTGTGGTATATTTAGATTGTAATTTAGAAGCTTGTATTCTTATTGGAATGAGTGAGTGAATGAAATATACAAGCTTTGGTTAAACTCAAGCTATTGTATAGAATCAATAATTACTCATTTCTAGAGCTTTTGCCCAGAATAATAGGATTGACTAAAATTCCATTTTTATCAATAGAACTATTTTCTAATTTCGACTTTGGCACAATAAAATAGTAAATGTACGCCTCTTATCGAAAGCTACATAATTAATGTAATACACTAAGAATCCAATGTTCATTGAGCCCAATTTGATATTCCTTCCTTATCATGCTCATACTCCTTGCATTCTTTATCCTTATTATTATGACCACAATCATTTTGAACCATATATGTGGTTATGGTCTGTAGTATCTTTGTAGTTCAATTATAATCTGATTAGTGCAAAACACTCTATACTAGCTTTATTCCATACGTCTTTCTTATTATCTGAGCAAGCTGCCACATGTAAGTGCCTCGTTTATAGTCCTTTGATATTTTGGTTCGTTTGTGAGGTATTTCAATGCAAAATTCGTTGGCTAAGACATAAAAGTGATAATCTACAAAATAGGACAAATCACAATCAAATACGTTGAGATATCATCCGATTCAATAGTTCTTCCTTGTTATATCCATAATCAATGAAATATGGATGGAATATGGGATTATCCATTGAACGCTTGACTATGGAATAGGGTTCCATTTCATGATCAGCATAGTATCGGTAAAGAATGTTCTTATTCTCGGCAAGCATTTTATCTACATCTACAATTCTCTATGTGTGGTTCAGAATTTATATAAACTACATGTCGACCTGTAGGATGAGGAACAACACTATGCATATACACTCGCTTTAATTCCGATTTTGTATGAGGAACCATATCCCAACTAACCATTACAACGATCCACACAAATCATATACATATTCTCACACAATCCTTTTTCATAACAATTCTTGTGATTCACTTCTTTTTCATTCATTAGGAATGACTTTAGCAACAATACGGCTTTCGGATCCTTCAGTGTTTGATTATGAATCTGGAGTGTCGAATATAGAGTATCGGATGAAAATACATCGATATCACTCACAAAGTAATGAGTTGTATCAATGAACTCGATCGCTAAGTCTCTCAAAACATTGATAGGAAAGATTGTATTGTTTCGATAAACGGGTTTTTTCTCATCATAATAAATGCTTTGATAACGCGAGCCGATCCTAGACTTCACAATGTAGAGTATAAAGGTGATTCGTTTATAGGACTTGTATGAATCGATCACCTCTCTTAACTCATCAATCTCATTCTCTGTAACGAAGATTACCATATTGATTCGATGTTTCCATCTCTTCATCAAATAGGGAAATCGATCTTTCCGAACTAACGTTAAGATTGTAATTAGAGTGACATCATCATAATCCTTGGGATTATCTAGTATGTAAGAGAGAGCAACTTTCATAAATCATACATGGCTTTCTTTTGAAGGACGAACATTCATCTTTCATTGTATCATATGTAACGACATAGAATTGCTGGCAATGTGAGTATGGATGTGAATCATGGCAATCGAAAAACAGATTCTTTTTGTTGTGCTTGAAGAAATCAAACAAATCACTGGCATTATGACAAGCTGAACTCGCAAATGGGTTGAGATAATATGGAACGAGCTGTTGAAAACACTTCTTTTCATTGCTGAAATGCTTGAGGGAGGGTATCTTCATTAGCTTTTGCACATATATGTTGTTCTTTCCATATCGCTTATCAAGAGGTTGAAAATCAATATACTAGTCATAATAGGATGTGAGAGGAAAGAATACAGGAGCAGCTGTTGGTAACGTTGTGGTAATAGTTTTCGAATGATGAGACAAGACTTTGTGAGACGATAATTGTATTTGCTATAGAATATGAAAGAATTGAAGGGAGAACTTACTTGTAAGACATGAACTGATGACAAACTCCAGTTTGGATGACTATTGTGTAACAGAATAGAAAGCTCCCCTAAGACTGCAAGGATCAGAAATACTATCATTTTAAATAGAATTTGTAAAGTAACCAAAAACCAAAATATAATGAACCAAACTACTCCACGAAAAATACACTATTTTTGCTTGATTTCATGGAAGATATTATCAATATTGAGATGTGGATATGAAATATGTATACTTGTATTATGAAAAAAAGGATGTAGAGTGTTTGTCATCTAATGAAGCGATTTTGGACAAAGAGTCGGTTAAGCATGTAAGAGCGATACACTTGGTACTATACAATCCAGAACAAAACTAATATGTTGATAAATCAAATGATGTGTGCTGTTATGAAGAGTAATGGAAGTGTCAAATTACGAAACTCTATTAATACACAAAATTCATTCATTCTGTACTATTCATAAATTCGATATCTCACAAATTGCATGTTTAAAACAACTCGAAAGTTTAGAATCTGAAAGCTGGAAATTAGACATTGCCCCCATTTATATATATATATATATTATAGTAGTAGTAGTAAATGCAATGAAACTAAAGAATACCTTAAAAGTGAAGATATCTCTTAATGATGAAATGATGTAAATTATCGATAGAAAGATAGATAGATAGATTATTGTTGGCTAGACAGAGTGTATAGACACAGAACATGATGATTACTGACTTTGTTTTCCCATTTTGTATTCTTGACAACTATGGGATTTGATATGTGTTCCATTTGTATCGTATCGTATTGTATAGAACTACATTCCCATCTATTTGAATAATGCTAAACAAATCAAAAATGGTATGTTTGGCTACCCATTCAGATTTAGTATTCATTACAGTTTTTGCAATAGAATCAATCCATTCACTCAAACGACAAAGAATAAGGAAACAAAATCAAGTATAGATTCATACACAGCTCACCTGTATCATATTAAGTTTACTATTACCATTCTGTGTGTCCTATGTTTCAATTATTGTTTGTTTCAATCTATTTAGTGTTCAATATTGTGCCAATTGGTAAGTTGTAGAGTACAATTGATATATGTTTCTTTATCGACTTATTTTTCATCTTTCGAATATGTACCTATTCACATACGTGATATTTCGACTAAAAGGTATGTACTAACTATTGCTATTATTGTTTAGAGTAATACTAGATATCAACAGTTCTATTGTATTAGTCTAGGTATGTTGATAACATTATAGAAAGCGAACAATAGTTCTGTTTCCATTATTCGTGTCAACCCTACTGTCAGTGTGCCAATTTCTACAAAGAATGATAATAACAATCAAAACGAATCGAATCACAGGAATCATTCCAAAGATTTAGAATTGGTCCTAAATGTAACAAAGAATCATAAAGTGAAAACAGGTCATGGCATTTCAGATAATCTTCCTGGAATGGGAAAGAACAGATATGGGTAGGAAATGGTTGATTCATGTTTTGTAGTGATATGCTGATTGGCAATAGCACCGAACGATTAGATCCTTCCATGATTAAGTCCGAAGAGTTACGTGAATTGTTGGTTTCGTTTTTGTAAAGTCAAATATTAGGGTTCGTTCCAAACGAAAACTGTTCCTTCTTCCAAATACCAAAGGTTTAGGAAATCGATTACAGCTATTCTGTGGTTTGTATTTCATATCCATCCGACATAACTGCTCTATTGTGAGTAGGACTGTGCTTTGTTTTCTTTTAAGTATTCTAGTCCCTCATTCTGCCTTGTGGCACAAGTTTTGGACTATCAAGCAATTCTTCCCTCAGCAAGTTGTCTTTGCTGATGATGAAGGTATCGATAAATGAATAATCATATAATTGAATAGACTTGAAGTATCTATTTCATTTTAGCTATCTAATCGTTGTAAAAGCAATAGGGAATTATGTAAGAACAGATTTGCAAAGAATCAAGGACTTCATCATGACGGGCGATGAGCGAATTGGATTACCTACAGGCATTACAACGATTATCGGATATTCGCATATTCTTCGATTCATTCTCGATTCTAAACCGTATCATTCGATTCTATTAGCCAGTGGAATTACTAGTTTCCAAAGAGATGTGTCGTCCCATATGAAGGTTTACTATTGTTATGGAGAGTTTTTAAGAGACATTATGCAGATTACCGATCTGACAAAGGAAATGATGAAGGTACGGTATCCAATCGTTTTTGAACAACCCTATGATGCAATTCAGCTGAGAATGGGAGGAAAACTATCGGATGTTCCCATGCCTAATCATTATCTTACGATGGAGTCATTGAATGTTGCTATTCGATGTATTGGCACCTATTGCAAGTCAAAGAATCTTTATGTAGCTTCTGATTCCATAAAGGCCAAACTATTCATGAAAGAGAGATTACAAGACAAAAATGTGACTTTGGTCAATGAGAGGTCTTTGTTTTCCGATAGTCAACTGAATAACATGGAAGGTGTTTTTATCGCTACCTATTCTGCTGTGGCTGATATCTATATTCTGGGAAATTGCAAACAATGCATAATGACGGAAGATAGTACATTTGCTTATGCTGGATGTGCTATCACAGGGAAACCACCAGTGATAATTCCATGGACGAAACAAGTATGTTTAAAAAGTGATAGCTTAAAAGAACTGTAATGAAGCCAAGTTGGGAAAGGACAATGCAAAATGGTAATAATGTGACTAGGATTTCAATGTTCTATTTGTGAACAACAAATTAGAATACTACAACAATTCTTTAAAAAGATTTGTCAATATTATCATATCGTAATATGATTAAATACACACGCAATGATATGAATAGTACTTTGTAGATATCCAATTTGTTGAAAAACAATGTAAATTAGAATTGGATGTTAACGAGCTATTACCACTATCTAATAATGATAGTCAATAAAGAACAGGTGAGAGATAACAATACAGAATATAGGGAAATGATATTATTATAGAGAAAGATTGATCTAATGTTATTGTAAAATACCTGCATAATAATCATACAACTACTAGTAGAATATGATTTTTGGAAAACAAGAAATATTGGGAATTAGGAGATCATTATAGTTACTTGGTAATTCGGTATTCGTATGGTGCAGTTAATATTGATTGTAATTGCAAGTTACTTGCTGTAATTCTCTTAGAGATTATTCTATGTAGGTCACAACTGTCATCAACGAACACTTTCCTCAATAGTTTATGTAACTATTCAATTAAAGCTAGCCATACACTCCTATTATCACTCAGGTATCAAATCACTCTGTTTATTCGATGTAGACGTTCTGGAAATCCAAGTCAACAGTATAATGTACCATTAGTTCAGCAGAGTGATAATGGAATCAAAGTGGACTCTACAAGTGTTTTGGGAAACAATGGGCAGTTAGTTCGACCAGCAGATTGGAGTAGCAATATAACAACAGATATCAATGTAATAACCATACTCAATACAAACCAGACCCATCAGCTAATAAAAGGAGCTAAGATTCGAGATTCACTGCCTGGATTCATAAACAAATTTGGGTAATAGTTGGATGATTATGAATTATGAAGTAGCGATAGAGTTAAGGGTAAGCGAAAATCGCCAATACATACTAATCAATTACAGTCTGCTGAGTTAAAGTCTTTGTATTACTCATGATTGCCTTTATTATTGCATAGAGTGAGATCAAACCAGCGATTGATTCTATTGCCCAATTATAAAGGCTTGGGAAATCGTTTACAGCTGTTCAGTGGATTGTATTTTCTTTCAATTAGGCACAGAATCCCTATTATCAGTACATTCAAAACCGTTGTTTAATTATAGTTCCTTATTCTGCAATGTGGCATAGAGTGTGGAACATTCGGCAGAACTATACTGGACAGATTGTTTATGTTCCTGATGAAGGTATCGTCTAGAAAATCGTTGATTACATAGATATAAACTATCTATTTCATTATAGTTTTTTACTGGTGGCTAAACCTTATGGAAAGTTCAAAATACAAGATATGCGATACACAAGCAATGCAATCAAAACAGGAAAGGTTGATCCTATATTCCCAACAAGAATAACAGTAGTAATCGGAAATTCACTCCTGCTGAAGTTTGTGATCGACTCTGTGGAATATCATTATATTCTACAGTATAATGGAATAGTGAGCTATCAGAAGAACATTTCATCCTATCTGCAGCAATACTATTGTTATGGAGAGTTTTTGAGAAACGTTATGCAAATCACTGACCTGACAAAGCAGATCATGAGAGTGAGATATTCAATCGTCGACACGCAACCATTTGATGCGATTCAACTGAGAATGGGTGGAAGTCTTTCAGATTATCCCATGATTAAACAATGGTTATCAATGAAATCTCTTTCTGTAGCAGTTCGTTGTATAGAATCATACTCTAAAACAAATAACATTTATATTGCTTCTGATTCGATGTATGCAAAGAACTATCTGAAACGGCATCTGTTGAATCGAAATGTGAGTTTTGTGAATGAGAAAGCTCTATTCTCAGATACTCAAGTGATGAATTTAGACAGTGTTTCTTTAGCTACATATACAGCAGTGGCAGATCTGTACATATTGGGTAAAAGTAAATCGTGTATCATGACAAAAGACAGTACATTTGCATTTGCTGGATGTGCACTATCTGGTAATCCGCCTATCACATTAACGGATGATAAGGATAAGTGTTTTGGACAATAGTCTCGTTAGTATGATTGAACAATCTAGTTTTTGATGCTTATTTGTTTATTATCACCCTCATCAAAATATTGGACTCAGTAAAGAATAATAATAATATTTGCAGACATAGTATTTCTTGCTTTTCTTAGCATCATTCTTTCAACTCTAAATGACTGAATCAAAAACTAATAGCATTTAGAAGATTTATTATTAAACTATTGAGAGAATGAAGCTTTTTGTCCAATGATATTAAGGCCAATATATTATGCTCCATAGGACGAAAAACCAACAAGATACAACACTATTTTACACGAAGCGATTCGCACGAAACCTATAAATCGACTTTTATGTGCTATTTTACGCCATGACGACATCCACCATTTGGTCTGTCGTTGTAATCGACCAACCGATTCGTGATAAGGTTCTATGATGCTATCGTTCCTAGGCTGTCTGGTCGACAATCATCGGTCAGGAACCAGGTTTCGTGCTTTCCTACGCCAATTCTTTTTTACTATCAACCTAGTGCTCGTTTCTATTTTTGTTTGTTGCGTCAGTTATAATTGGATGCTAGAAAGCAGTAGACATACCTAGCTAATGTGAATTATTGTTATTTCTCTCGTATTTACATGTTTGTTTGCTTATTTGTAATAGCTGAAAGCCAATATGTGTACATTGTCATCACAAATCCATCTATTGTTGTCTGTGCAAGTCATAAGTGTCTTTGGTAAAGAAAGAACATGCATTATTCCATTCTCATACAAGATTCACCTATCAATGGTACATTC